GTGTGTGTGTGTGTGTGTGTTGTTGTGTGTGTGTGTGTGTGTGTGTGTGTGTGTGTGTGTGTGTGTGTGTGTGTGTGTGTGTGTGTGCGCGCGTGCGTGTTTGTGTGTTTTTGTACGCGGGCGGGTTTGTACGTGTGGCTGTGTGTTTGTGCGTCTCTGCGGGGTGAAGGGATGTGTGTGTGTGTGTCTCTGTATGGGCACATCGGTTGGGATGTCTGCACGTCTATACAGTTTAGTAACAGAAAACACGCCCATAATGATAAGCGATTAAAACCGCGTCGTCTTTAGTCATGCTTAACAGCAGCGGAAGTCATTATCCTGCAGATGGCGCTGATCGATAGCAAAATATGTCACCATTACGCAATTAACGGTTATTATCAAATCCGCTTCCTCGTTTTAGCATCTTCATTCCAGGAGGTTTTTCCCAAATATTTTGCAGAACCGAGAATGCACTCTACTCGGATTTTTCGCTATTCGACAGACGCCTTCAGTTCAAGAACCGCTCAGTTCAAGTTCATGATAAATTTCAACTGCACAAAAACGAATTCCAAAAAATTACATTGAACGCAGGAGCCGTCCTGCTGCCATTAACGAGAGAACCCCTACAATCCAATATCCTGGAGGCAGTAAGAAACACAGCTTATGACATAGCCAAAGAAAAGAATAAGTAAATAAAATATTAGATAAAATGTAAGCACATAAGAATTATATGTTTAAGCATGTGTTTTAACGTCAGCTAGCCGCGCCTGTTCGTAAATGAGTGCGTCATTTCGACGGCTGTTCTCCATTTCTCTTTGATCTCTTGAGTGCATGTGGCATTACGTTAATCTAACCGTGCGCGTGTGCATTATGTAAGCGTAATTTTGCCGCTGCTGGGTTACCATCGTGCGCAGCTTGAACTATATACTATGTATATGTGTATACAATATATATACTATATAAACATATATATACATATATACATATATACATATATATATATATGTAATAATGGTTTCACGTCGAATATTGTGATATGTGATGGTGTTAGCTGACTGAATAGATGTATAATGTGCCACCAGGGAAATTATTACTCACAATTTATAAAGTATAGTAATGCAGGCTATAGTAATACCCTCAGGTGCGTTATTTTATCTTTTTTTTACATTTTTAAATGCAACCTTCTGCTTTAGTGTTGCCGCGCGACAGTGATGTAATTCTTTCCCGGCTCATTACTGCTCGTTAGTTCTCGAGTTTGAGATTTATACTAATTATTTTATAAATTATTTTATTAAAGCCTATTTACGACGTAGGCCTATCTATATACGCAAAGCTAGCTAACTAATGTCGTTGAAGGAACGTGGGCATCGATCGACGTGTAGGCGCTCACGGCGAGGAATTCCGACAACTAGTTTTCATGGCTTACATTTGCTTGAAAATGTGCGCTTAGCGTAAGCGTAACGGAAGTGTTCGGCCGCTATCTCACACTAATTAAAAGATATTTAAAATCGCGCGGTGGCCATCTTGGATTTTCGATTGTTACGGCTGTTACGGAAAAAATCCAGCTTCGTACTGAAATCGTTTAGTATACCCTTAACATCATAATTATACGCCAATTTTGGAGCTATTATTACAAAACCCACAATTCTATATATTTACACATATCTGCTCCACTACAGGTAATATCACGATAAGCATGCAGGCAAAGCACACAGATACACACGTTATTAATATATACGAATACACACACACACATTTATCTGTACCTAACTACATACCTACTTATACCTAACTACATACCTACTTATACCTAACTACATACCTATCTATACCTAACTACATACCTATCTATTACCTAACTACATACCTATATATACCTAACTACATACCTATATATACCTAACTAGATGCCTACGTATACCTAACTAGATGCCTATCTACACTTAACTACATAACTACATACCTACTTTTATCTAACCAAGAGCTAATAATACAAGTAAAATACCCGTAAAATACCCGTAAAATACCCGTAAAATACCCCTAATAAAGTACCCGTAGCACGCATGAGTACAGTACGCATGCGCAGTAGTTGTTCCGTCGAACTTCACGTGAACCCGCGTGCTTACATCCGGGACAGTTTCACTCCTCACATCATTAGCGTTTGGGGGGAGGCTGGCAACAGACAGCGTCGCGATGCGCATGCGCACGCGCGTGTGACTTACCCACGTCGACGAACGCGACCATTTAGCGGCGAGCGTGACGTCGGTG